GATTCCTCAAATGTGATAGCTCCTTTTAGAATTTAGACAATCTGTCTGTGCCAGTGACTTTTAGTCGTCTTGTCACTTGAATTCGCTCCACCGTACTAAACAGTCCGTAGTCATGTTAAACTTTGCTGTATGTTATCAGGCTTAATCGTATGAGGTCACTCTTTCTGCAGGCTGAAGAAGTGCCACAAAATGGTAATTTCATAGCTATTTAACAATTTCTTCCCATTGCAGAACCTTTTGATGGAACAAATACAGCAAGAGCTGTGCATGAAAAGCAGAAGTTTGACATGATCAAGGATCAATTCTTAAAGGTATCAGTGTGTCACAGTGACTGCAGAAGTGGTAGGGCACTAGTGGGCAGCCATTGCTGATGCATAGAGGCATGTATTGCTTGAATAAGGGATGCTTTTCCTTTAGATTCCTGGCTGCTTTCCTTCAGATAGCTTTTGCTTACTTGGTAAGCTTACTTCTCCCACCAAAAAATGCGTAAAATCAAATGGACTCTTTGCCTCCATAAATTATTAGGGGATTTATTTCAGCTTTAGAAGCTGATGGCTAACTTCTGCCTTTCTTCCCTGTACCTTAAATTTACAAGGAATTAGAGGCCAGTTTATTTTTATATTCTGAAATGTTAAAACTGTGCATGTGTGCGTGTGTGCACAGTGCCATCGTAGCATACAGTCTCCACCTTCAGGCTCCGACAGTCCCGGGCAGAGCTAACGACAGGTGAGATGAGTCCCAGGAGAGAAGGCTCCGAGGACTGTGAAGACCACGTAGAGCTTTTCATTGTCTAGATGTACAGGGGGACGTGTCATTGATACCTAAAGGATAGGCTTCTCAGTTTGTCAACTAGAATAGAATATTTATGCTGTATAGTTTCTTTCATTTTAAGCCAAAACCTAAATAGGAATAATTTTTGTGTAACGTTAAATTAAGAACTCGGAGCATTCTGTGTTGTTGTTCTTACTGATAAGTAAACAGGTGTGCTTCATTGTACAGTCGTCCAGTCTGTTGAACAGCTTAAGTGGAAATGAAATGACAGCGATTCTCAGGACCAAGAAGAGAGCCAGGGTTTTAGTTTGTGAACAAAAATTTCAGTTTCTTCTATTTTTTTTTTTTTTGGTATAAATTCCATTCATTTTTTTCTAAAGCATAGCTAATGTGCTTTTATTATAAATTTCTTCCCTCCTTCATAAATGTTTTGAATTTGAAAAGTTAGTAAAAGATACAAAATGATCAATCAGGTAATTGAAGACTTCTCCCTTAGCCTTTGAAATCCAGATGTTTGTTTTATATGTGAATAAGTGTTAATATTGTGAGTTGCATCTGTTTGTACCTCCTGTGTGCCCATTTGTTCATTAGAGAATTGAATACAGCAATACAGTTTTACAATAGCATTTTTTCCTCTGGGGACAAAAACAATCCTTGTGCTAACCAAAAGCTTGGGAAATAACCAAAAAGAAGAAAAAGTCTGCCACAATTTTACGACCTGGAGGGGAACTGTTATAACTTTTTTTTTTCAAGTCTCCTGTTTTTTTCTGCATCTATTGGATTGTAAGAAACCTTTCTGTCTCTCTTCCAGTCATGGCACAGATTGAAAAACAAGAGAGACTTGAACAGCATCCTCCCCCTGAGACACACTGTCCTGAAGAGATGACCGGCCTTTTGTTGCTGTCACCACGGGCAGTGAAGAGCCGGGGTCCTTCCCGCGCCTCGTGGGCCTCCATGGCTCCTTTGTGCTTGTGCTTTTCATTCTCATGTTTTATTTTTTAAAGGACATACTTAAATAAAGATTGCATATTTTATTATGACATTTCCTAATAAAGCCCTTTGATTTAAAATCTATTTTTGAAAATGTTTACATTGATGCTGATTAATATTATGGCATGGATATTCAGAAGACCAGATAAAATATATTTTGGGAAATGACCTGAACAGATTACAATTTTTGATGTAACTTCAGTTTGTTGTATCACATGCTAGTACTGACAGGAAGTGTGGACCTTTGGAGAAGGTTCAGTTGGTAAGTGCTAAAGTATAACAACCTCCAGGAAGTAGCTTGTCTGAATCTGTTCTGGTAAAGTAAGGACTTGGTCTGTGAACTCAGTTACTTAAAGCAGAATGGAATCTTTTCTTCAAAGATCATGAAATCCTGGGCTTGACTTGCTAGCATGGGCTGAGGCTTCGGGCGTCCCGTATCGTTTTGTTAGTACTTCACACGCGCCGGATGTGCCCGCTCGCAAGGTGGCTTTCAGTTCAGTGCTGAGACAGCGGGTGCTGCAGCTCTGTGAGCACTCACGCCTGCGGCAGCCAGAGCAGCAGCTCCAGATAGACGTTTGACAAGATGAGTTCTCCCGTGCTTTGGGGCAGTGCAGTGTGCACTTCCGCTCCACTTCCCATTGTCCTCCTCCTGGTTCCCTTTTCCCTGCGACATGAACAACAAAATAAAGATCAAAGTGAAGGTTATATCCTATTTGTAGTCTCAGATTTTGTTTTCTGTGTACAATTATAGGATTGTAATCTAAACTGGAATTTTTAGGCAGTAAGCCACTACAAAATGTTTAGATGAAACATAACAAAATTGTTATCAATTGAGAACTTAATGTTTGTTATAAAATACCTTTTTTAGTATTACTTTTCCATAAGAAGGAAGTAGTGGTGACTGTTAAAAAAAAAAAAAGCTACAGTGTTTATTAAGGTGGTTTTTGATTTGTGTAAATATCTGTAAATTTAAATGTAAAAAGTAATCTTGAAGCCAGTTTTAACTTTTTTCAAAAGGACTGTGTACAACTTTTAGACCTACTGTAGCACACTTTGTACCTCTAATGTATTTTTTGAAGACCAAATGCTAAAATTTTGCTTTTCTCTTGACTTGTAAAAGGTGCATATTTTCATTTTCTTTTAAGTTTAAATTTTTGTATGATAAGTGGAATAAAGTTTATATATGGAAATTGTGGAAGTGTTTTTTTTTTCTGTGCACTTCTTTTGAGATGAGATGGGAAAGTGGTTATCTTGAAGTAAGCTTAATCCAGTTATTGTGTTTGATTCAATATTTAAATCTAAATAGTTTTCATTAAAAAGTCAAAATATTTAAATAATATTGTTTGATGATTTGCATAGTACTGAGAATCTTGGTCTCAAGTTCTCTTGTGGTTCAGCCACATGAGCATCCTCAATGCTTTATTTCTCTGGAGTAGTTAGGGAAGAATTTCTACAAAGGTGAAAAATTTTTTTAAGGCTGCTGATATATAGCAACTTTAATATATTTAAGCTTTTTATATTAATTATTTTTCTTAGAAATTTGTTTAAAATTTATGATGTGTTGTGCAACTTATCAGACTCTAGAGAAAGTAAATCTGGTGGTGACTGGGTAGTCAGTCTGTAAACGGTGCTGGGTCTGCCCGGTAACCCTGTGCGACTCTCGGGGGTGGTGAGAGTGGGGCATGGCCTCTACAGCAGAGCCCCTCCCGTGCTCCTGGTTTCCCAGTCTTGAGGGGGCTCACCTTTGTCACTGCTTTCTAAAAACTGTTAATGTAACAGATAGATCATGAGGTAAACAAGCTTAAACCCAGGTCTAAGTGGACTGAAGCCCAAAATTTTGCTTCTTATCACAGACTAAGTAAGTTGAGGGGTGGGCTGTTAGGTATAAGAGAATTTAAAAACCAGTTAGCATTATTATTTTCAGTCTTAAGTTATTTAATCGTGTGGTGAACACTGGATTTCCATTTCCTCTGTTGTGCTTTCTATATTATCCATGTGTTCCTAAGCCAAACATGTACATTCGTGAGAGGCCCCAACCCGTAAGGACTGCGGGCCTTGAGCTCCTGGCCCTGCTCCCCATCCAGGGTCCACTAAGGCGGATGCTCCGAAGCAGTGTTTGCTCGTCGCGCTGTTGCTGCCTCTGTGGGAGACCTAGGTTGAGGCTCAGCTTCTGGCTTTAGCGTCTTGGGCCCTCAGCAGTGTGGGGCATTTGGGAAGTGAACCAACAATTGAGGATTTCTGTCTCTGGCTTTCAAGTAAGTAAATAACGAAACGTATGGCATGCACTGAAATTCTGGATTTTGGATTGGTTTGCGTCAAGACACTCGCAAATCTTGTAGACTTAAGTTTTTAGGAGTTTGAATTAAATGCAAGGAATATAGAAGGGCTGCTATTGAATTCGGAGTATACATGCTTATTTGGGTTGTTAGTGTTGAACCAAAGCCATTCTCTTGAAGCAAGGAAGCATCTTTACCTCAGCTTGTGGACACAATCCAGTCTGGCCCTGTGATTTGTGCTAGGTATTTGGCTAGTTTGAGGTTTGTGGAGTTTGGGAATGAGTCTACCTTGAGGGGGGAAAAGAAACAAGGTACTGAGGCACCTGGTGATCCTGAAAGCTGACAGGAAGCAGGTGAATAAAAATGGAGGAACCTCAGGCGGGATGAGCGGCACGTGGGAAAGCGTGGTGGAGTCTGGGCCCTCAGACCTCTCAGTCAAGGAGCGGACAGGTGGGGCGGGCGCGGCCAGGGAGCAATGGGGGCACGTCGTGGGCTGAGGGGAGGAGGCGGAGGTTAAACGCTAGCTTCCCAGGGGCCAGGGGAACGTGGGAGCCTTTGGACCCGGGGTCAGAAGTCAGCCTCGGGCTGCTGTGAAGACCACTCCTCCAGGTGCGAGCGCTGCACTCGCGTCCCCTGAGGGAGAGGACGTCCGGCTGACTGGCGGATGGAAGCGGCCCTTGCGCGACGCGGGGGTGAGGCGGCGCACCCCGGGACCGCGGCAGTGCCTCAGTTTCTTTCCCGGCTGCGAGGGCGCGCGACGTTGCTCCCCGCCAGGGTGCTTGGGGACGAGCTCGGCCGGGCCAAACTTTGAGACAACTTCTATTTAAAGTCGCGTGCTCCCCGCCCCCCCTCACGCCAGGAACCCGAGCCGCCGGCCGGGCCGGGCCGGGCAGAGGGCACGGTAGGCGCGGCGCGGACGGCTCCGACTCCGGCTCCGGCCCCGGCCCGGCCCGGGAAGGCGCGATGGCGACCAGCGACAGCACCTATGCCGACTACGGCGTCCTCGGCTCCGACGGGGACGAGGAGGCGGCCCGCGAGCTGGCGAGCGAGGAGGAAGAGGAGCTGGAAGACGAGGAGGACGGGACGGCGGCGGAGTCGGACGAGGAGCCGGGCGCCAGGTAGCAGGCGCGGCCGGGGACGGAGGGGTGTCCGCTCGGCGAGCCCCGGGGAGTCCTTTGCGCGTGGGCGCCCGAGAAGGAGTAGTGCGGCCTCCCCTGCGCCCCGGGCACGCGCTCGCGGTCCCGCCCAAGGGCTCAGAGGGGCTGGGCGCTGGCGTCCGCCCTGGGGCAGCCCTGACGGAGCCTGCCCCTTATGCCCAAGGCCAAGGGGACTCTGGTGTGGCACAGAGCCCCTCGACTTTTTGCGTGGGGAGGATGCCTGAGTTTGCGTAACGCCCATTCTTGAATAGCTGTTTCGGTTTGGGGTCTAGTCATCAGTGGGAAGTCGGGCTCCTCTGGCAACCCCTGCCCTGCCCCTCGCCGCCGCCACCTCCGTGGAAACGCTGGAAGGAGCACACCAGGAAGCCTCGCTCCCTCCTGGGCGCTCTGCCCCTCTTCACCGGCCTGGGGTTGTTTTTGTTCCCTGGGTCTGTATCCATCCTGGATGTGTCCTCCTTGACCGCCCTATCTCAGGAGAAAAGGAGGGACTCGCGCCAGATAAAAATCGCTGCTCTCTGTGGGAACAGCTAGGGAGAAATCTGGCTGCTCCGTGCGTTCAGCAGTGTGAGGAAGGACCAAGCTTTACGGGGGAAGCCAGAAGAGAGTGAGTGGAAGTGGAACTGCCCTGATGGACTGAGGCCGCGGTGGCCACCGCGGATGGAAGGTGCATAGAGCAAAAGCAGAGAAGGCACCTGCAGGACCTGGCAGTGTGCAGGGGACGTGGGGTTCCTGGGCATCCTGAGAAGGGCACATGGGTCAGTCCCGGCCTTTGCAGCCTCCTCCCCAGGTGGAATTCGGAATCCTCTTATGCTCACTCTTATGCTCACTTTCTCACCTCCCTCCACCCCCCCCCCCCAAATTACTCACAAGAGAACTGCAATAACTCATTTACACTGAAACATGAATGACTGACAGCTCAGAGTGTTGCAGCACATTCCCTCAGATCAAGCAGTCTGGCTGGGCGCTGTGGTGGACGTCAGGGAAGGAGGCCTGAGTGACAAGGGACAGAGGCAGGGAGGGGGTCAAAGAGAGCAGGGACCATGGAGTCTTGACTTGATGCTGATCAGGATTTGAAAACAGATTGTGTTGCTAACAAGCTGGTCTGTGACCTACCTTACAGAGAACTGTTACCCTCACCCTCCTGTGTCATGGTCTCTGTTGGTGCTGGGAAGGCAGCGGTAGAGAGAAGGAGCTGCTGAGGGCTCAGGCCACAGTGCAGGCAGTGGAGAGGAGCTGGCAGCTGGGTCTGACCAGGAGCAGGCTGGCTGGAAGGTGTCCCAGGGGAACTGGGAGTCCCAGAGCCCAGCATGCTGCCAGGGTGCGGACTTGCCGGTGGTGATGGGTAAGTCTCCTCAAGGCAGCTGCCCAGAGCCGCTTGGATTTTCATCAGGTCATTTTCAGGCCATACAAAATTAGCTGAAACATTAGCCTGCTGTAGATTCACTAAGTTCTGGAGTCAGCCTGAGCCCTCCCAAGTGATTTTAAAGTGAGCCGGAGCTCAGGTGCTGGCCAGCCATGCCCTGAAGCCTCAGGTGTGCAGTTCCTTGAGTGTCTGCTGAGCAGTGGGAGGGAGCAGGGCTCTCTTCCTGTCCCCCCACAGGTGGCTGCTCCCAGCGCAGTGCTCAGTGCTTGCACGGGAGCTCGCGTTCCTACCCTACTCCCTCCCACCTCTAGCCACACGTGTGAGGAGGTGGTGGCATGGTGGATGAGGAGAGGCGCCCTTCTCTGAAAGAGCCCAAGCCTGCCCAACCTGGAACATTCACTACGTCCTTCTGCCTGGAGCAGAGACTCTTCCTTACTGTCTTGGGGACAGCAGAGTAGCTCAGCTTAGCTTCTGCTTGGAGAAGCTGTCAGAGAGAAAGGAAGGACCCCATCACTTTTGGTGACAATGGGGACATCACCTGAGTCCAAAATGTTCTCCAGCGGCTGCATCACGACATGCAACAGCCTGCACAACAGTCACGCAGGGCTTGGCCACACCACAGACGATACGGGAGTCAGGCTGAACGTGCTCAGTGTTTTTCACCATGTGGTTCAGTTGTCAACCAGGAAACACAAGAGGTCGTGAGGGAAAGTTAGTAAGCAGTAAGAAGTCACCCTTAAGATGCGCAAAGGTTCGTGGTGGCTGTTCTCGGTGATGGGGCCATGGAAGGTGAAATGCTTCACGTGTATCTGAACTTTGCAATTTTTGTGTAAGGGGAACGTAGTATGTTTTGTGATCAGAAAAACAAACAACACCTTAATTGCCAAACATTCAAGACAAAAAGTAACGTGATGGTAACCCTTTTCTTTACATGTCCACATACAATAGAGTCATCTGTGGCTCTCTGGGCTGAGGAAAAACCCTGCAATCGTGACGTGCCCCGACAGTGCCCTCTGTTGGGTCAGCGTGCTTGCTGTTGGGGATGCCGCCCAGTGCTGCAGCTCTGACCTGCAGCCTCAGAGGCGTGGGTGTGGAGCCTGTTGGCCTGTGTGTCACGGGTCACTCCTCTGTAGAATGGTAGCTACTGTAGCAGAGTGTTACAGGTGAAAATAACATGAATGTGTGTGGGCTTGCCTGGCTCTCAGCCTCTTTTCCTGGGTAGTTCTTGCACTCCCTCGGCTCAGTCCTCCCTTGCAGCAGGGGCTGCCTCCTGTCTGTCCTTCACTAGCCATTGTAGAGATCAGTTCTCATTGGAAGTCTCTGTGGCTGGGTCTGTTGACCAAGGCCTCAGCATTGCTGGGCTGCCTGCTGTTGCCATGGACCACGTAAGGTGCTGGGCTGCTTGCTGTTGCCATGGACCATGTAAGGTGCCAGGCTGCACAGATGCCTAAGGGTGCATCCTTGCCCTCCGGGTTCAGATTCCAAGGGGAGCAGCAGGCAGGCCCAATTGTGAGATTAAGGAAGAAAAGCAAAGCTGGGTTGAGTGCTATGGATGTGGGAGAAGGTTTGAGAACCCCCCTACCTGGATGGGCTGGGAAAGCTTTACTGTGGGAACAGGTTTTGTGTCACAGCAAAATGCAGTTTCTGAACGTGCACAGGGTTTTCCATGTCGCTCAAACTTCACGCAAGGTCATTTGTGAATGGTGGATGTGTAAACCCACCAGCGTTTTTGGTCCACCTCTTTCCAACCAATGCCACAGACTCAGAAATGGACATCACGGTCCAATTAGCTCCCAGACCCCAGTGTCTTAACTCAGGCTGATGTTCATTTGTTCCTTCCACCAGCAGATACTTGTTCTACTGCTTGCCATGTGCCCAACACTTCTTTGGCACAAGGTAAGGGGCTGTGAATGCAGGCCCTGACCTCCGGAAGTAGACAGATCGATACATCGACTGTGGAACCAGTCGGGTAGGCAGTGATGTGAAGACACGTGCCGTGTGGTTTGTCTGAGGAGGTGACATCTGAGCAGGAGCTGGAGGTATCCGTATTCTAGGCAAAGGTGGCAGGTACAAGGACTGAGGCAGAAGCGTATGGCTGACAGGAGGCAGGTGGTGGCAGGGCAGGCAGAGAGGCCACTGAGTGAGTTGCCAGCAGGCCAGCAGGACTGAGAGTTTTACTGAGTCACTCGAAAGCCTTGTTCCGTCTGCTGTACCCTAGGGGAGTTAAACAACAACGGACAGGTGACGACTGCGGTGTTCCTGTTGGTGACAGACATGTCCTTGCCTGTGCTACTGGTCTTGTGTTTGTTGAGTGGCTGCCATGCACTGGGCACTGCGCTGAGTGTTTTAGACTTGTGGCAACCCCCAGGCCAAGAAAGGCAAGCCGACGTGCTGCTGGCATGCTGGGTCTTTTGGCGTAGACTCGCAATGCCCACTCTTTCTGCTGTTCCCACACAGAGACCCTGCTGCCATTTTCTTTCAGATCGTTCTTGGCCAATTTTAATGTCTCCATTTTAGCATAGAGGATTTTTGTTGCAACAGGACCCAAAGCTCAGGTGTCAGTTGAATTTCACCAGTGCCCACACGGACCAGGCTATCTAAGTTGACAAAGTGGCTGGCGACCTTCATGCTGAACCAGCAGGGACGGACCTCTGGCAGGTGAAGGGGTCTGTGGAAGGTTGCTGTGGTCAGCACAGAGCACTCTGCCTCCTCGCAGCTATTTTTATGAGGTCGGCCAGTGCTGTGGTCACCTGGGTGTTTGCACAAGTGTGTTATTTGAGCCAGCCCCCTTCTGAGGTCAGTGGAAAGAGCTGGGAAGGGAGGGCACAGTGCAGGATGCCAAGGCTGAGTGGGGAGGGAGATAAAGCCAGGGCACTTGGAGCCAGACACTCCAGAGCTATTTAAGTGCTGCTGTGTGGATGTTACATGCCCTTGGTAAGCCTTTGATACAGCAGGAGCCACGGTTATTGCTTGTCCTTTAAAACAGCAGATCTGAAATGTAGGACGCACTGATGAAATTCAACAGATTTTTGTATACATGACCCGGATGTTCTGAACACAGCCATTCAGAAGTTAGAAACAAATCCTTTGTCATGCTAAGAGAACTTGAGGGGGAGAGAAAACTTGGAGAACAAGGTTTAGGCAGAGAAGAGAAGGCATGTATTTTGCTCATGAAAATTATCCTTTGTTTAATAAAAACCATCTTTGAATCAATTCAGTTTTATCTGATAGAAATGCAGGGTAAGCTACATACATAATTTTTTTTAAAGATCTATTTATTTTTATTGCAAAGTCAGATATACAGAGAGGAGGAAAGACAGAGAAGAAGGTCTTCCATCCGATGGTTCACTCCCCAAGCGACTGCAACAGCTGGGGTTGAGCCAGTCTGAAGCCAGGAGCCAGGAACCTCTTCGGGGTCTCCCATGTGGGTGCAGGGTCCCAAGGCTTTGGGCCGTCCTCGACTGCTTTCCCAGGTCATAGGCAGGGAACTGGATAGGAAGCGGGGCTGCCAGTGTTAAGACCGGCAGCCAAATGGGATCCTGGTGCTTTCAAGGTGAGGACTTTAGCTGCTACACTATCATGCTAGGTCCTACATATG